TTTCGGTGGGGGAGGTGGCAGAGCGTCGGGTTCCGGGTGGTGAGCAGTTGCACTGTGCATCACTCCTTTTGTACACTCTTTTATTGGTACCGTTGTTGCTGTAACTTCTCTTTTTTTTTGTGTTGTCCCAGTAAACTGCCCCTGTCTCAATCCTCGAGGTTCGGGGTTTTTTTTTTCCTTTTCTCTCCTCCGATTCTCCTCCCCATCCCACCAGAGGGGCGCGGGAGGAGTGAGCGAGCAGCTGCGTGGTCCTTTGTTACCGGCTGGGCTGAAACCACGACACGAGGTCAGCAGGCTTTTACTTCCAAGTATTCACCCAGCTTTCATCACAGTGGCTGGACCAAAGCATCTTCAATCTATTTGCTCCAAAGGAATTCTCCTGGTTTCTCTCCTATGGAGACTGACCGATTCTGTAAACTGAGATACTTGTACACAAAGAAATCCTCTGCATTGTGCTGGCTATACACACTTACATTGTACGTGACTTATGCTGCACAAGGCTTCTTGCATGTTTGTTCAGTGTTTCAGCTGGTAGGACTTGCACAGCTTGCAGGCACCCTGCAATTTACCATGGTTCATGCAAATGCAGCATAAAAATTTGAAGTGTGCTAACTACCACTTAAAATCCTTCTACTGAACCTCAAGACACCCACAAGACCAGCTACTGGGTAGGTAACTCTTACATTCTCCTTCAAGAACTGCCCCTGTGTCAACTCTACTCCTGCCTTGGCAGGCCAAAGTGGGGCAGCAGGCAATAACTTAACCCACCGCAGGGTACATAAGGCAACACTATTAAGAACTTGCATTTCACAGATGTTCAGGTTCCGGTAACACCACAACAGACTGTCTTTGAGAGCAACAGAAAAACATTACCAGAGTGAGGACACAGAACCGAAGAAAACTTCTCAAGAAAGTGGTTAGAAAGAAAAGCTGCAGAAATGCATGGAGGACTTGGTAAGTGATAGAGAGGACATTATTAATGTTCCCTCAGCCCTTCGAACTAACTACACGCAACCACGTGCTGATTGCAAGGCCATAACACGCACTTCAACAGCACAGGCATCCTAGGCCACATCTGGGAGAACACACAATCCAAGACACACCTAGTAAGGGCAAAACCTGCTCCTGAGTAATCTACGGGAATAATATCTTGCGTCTCAAAGCCCCAGTGCTCACATGCACCATCTTCTTCCACTTCAAACAAGGACTCTTTCTCCAGAGCTGTCAAATCTGCCAATAACCAGCATACTGACAGCAGGCGGTACAGCTCTTGCCTTTTCCGAAACACCATGCCATAGAGCTAAAAAAGATCATGAAGAAGCCAGAGGACTGCTGAATTGACAGATTAAACTTGTAATATGATACTCCAGACATGAAAAACTTCTGGTCCGCAATGGGACTGTCAAGATGAGACAGAACAGATCCAGTCTCCTTGACCATGCTACCAATCGTTAAGATTGCAGGAAAGCTGAATAGCTGGAAGTTTACTAGTGAAGAAACATGTGTCAGGGAGTTTTGGCAAACTTTCCCAGCTCTGCTGTACAGCAAGTGGAAGGGGGTCCTACCCATAGGCCTCAGGCAGCCAACTAGCTACTGGCAAGACAGTGGGGTAACAAATATAAGCCATCATCACATCTTCACACAGCAGGGCAAATCGTTTTCTCCCCACCTATTGGTAACATACCTTGCAGCTGTAACACACAGATGCCAGACAAAAGGGATAATAAAATATATTTTTAAAAGTTCCAATTCAAATGGTTTTAACTTATGAACATGCTTCTACGCGGTATGATCTTGATGTACTGCAGCCCCCGAATTTAAAGCTGCCAAAACCCAATTCCAACACCTGAGCCCATGTGCCCCCACCCCAGTGTAGGCTGGCACTAGCAGAACAGAATTCCATGTCATAACAGCCGATCTGTCCACAACCCTAAAGGACAGGACAATCTGACAACTGTTTTCAGTCTATCTAGCTACAGCGTGTCTGCTGTGAAAAACCCATGTTTCAAGACAACTGCTGCAGGAGCTACAAGTGAAGTGTGGCATGGTGCATAATCAGGATGAATTCATACCAATTTCCTTGCAAGTTGGGGAAATGAAGTGACTGCAGATGAAATAAATTTTTTCCCATTTAGAGGAAGTCCTTGAGGCAGTTGCCTATGAAGGAATACAATTTAACCTGCAGGCACCATCAGGAAAAAAATTGTTAAAATACTAGTAAGCTAACAAGAAAGACTCTGTTCTAGCAGAAAGCTATTTTGAAGTACAAAAAACCCCACCCTTCTCTAAACTACACAGGCAGAAGTGTTAAATACTAATGGAGTGACCAGCAGACTACGTGGAAAGATGTAGTTATGGATGTTAGGGTGGGCATGAAGATTAAGAGGCAGTGAACAGAACAGCAGGAGTCTCCAGAAGTGACCAGAGGTGCAGCATCCAGAAAGGAAGAGTAGTTCCTACAGCTCCACCCAAACCCTGGAGACAGAAATGTTGATGTTCTTCCAATCTGCTGAAAGATTTCCCAAAGCAAGCCAGCCCTATCCCGAGTCTGCAGGCTAGGTTAGGGAGAGCCAGATGAAGCGGTTGTTGGCAGGTACCTGAAGAAAGTATTTCCTCTTAGGTGATTTTGTTACCAGATCTACAGCCTAGAAGGCAACTGTAGTAGCTGACTTGGGTATGATGTCCTGAGCAAAAGCCAAGACTGATACCAACACACAACTAGTGGACACCAAGGTGAGGAGGGCGGAGAGAACACAAGTCTGAAGAAGTAACAAAGGTAACAGTCCTCATAAAAGGAAGTTGTCGGCACCAAGACCTGGAACTGCAGGCTTTCCTTTAGAGGCCATAAGATGATATGAATGTCTAGGCCCATGACAGCAACTGAAGTCCTTACTTCTCAGTGAAGCAATACTCAGCCCCTGAAGGTCCTGCATCAACATGGTCAGTACAAGGACACTGTTCACAATTGCAGAATGCTGGTACCAAGGAAGGGTGCAGCAGGTGAGGAAGGATACAGACCGTTCCTACAGGATCATTTCAACCTCCCTTCTCTATCCTCCGAGTACCCATCTTCTAGCCAGAAGAGATGCAGTGGAAAAAGGCGTGTCAAACTTAACAGCAGGCAGGCTACTACCAAGGGTTTGTATTCAGTTTTGGCAGGACAGCTGTGCAACATGACCCTGAACCAATCTTATTTTCTTCAGGCCTCCGGCAAGTAAGAAATGAAAAGAAAGCCACGGCTACAAAATTACCATAGGGAAGGTTGAAGTAGAAACAAACAGAACTGGTGATGCTAAGACTGTAATCAACATTTAATTCAAATTGAAAGGCTGTCTCATACCCTGACACTCATATATACCAAAAGGTTTCAAAGTTTTATTGCAGTCTATTGGGTTTTTTTAAATCCATCTCACATGCTAGGTTCCACGTGTAAAAATTGTATTACTTACGGCTGGTGAAGAGATTTTTGAAGAGGCTGCCATTTTTTTAATCAAGCATACACAGAGACTTCTGTTTTCAGAAAATCAAGAAGGTTAGCAATTCAGGGATTTAAGAAGTACACTTTAGGTTGCATGGACTCTGGAGCAGGAAAACTGGGCAAAAAATTATTCTAATATACATGACACAGCACAACACAAACCACCACGTTAGTCTTCTAACCTTTATTCAGTGTTTAACATTAAAATTAAAGTTAGCCTTTTATTAACAGTGAAAGACTGCAATCAGTATTTGGAAAGCATCCCACAAAATTGCTAAACTGTTTATTTTCATTGACAAAAACCAAGATATTATTTTTCTGTGATTTCTGTCATGAAAATATTTATGACACTAACAAAAAATTCTACATAAAAAATATTTTTAACAAAGGTTTTGCTATCATCGTTTACATACACATTATAGAAATTAAAAAATAATTATCATTTAATGAAAAAAAGGATGAAGCATCTTACATGCTACTCCATATAAAACAACTAATTGGTTTAAGGATGGAAAACCAAGTCTAGTATCAGATGTGGATGTGCCAAGGTATCTCCTACCCACTGTGGACCGTATTATTGTACCTGGGAGCTCCCCAATTCCCCTGGTGCTGCTTCTTGCCCATTAGACACTGCATTTTCACATTCTTCATCCAACATGCAGCCTCAATAATTCCTCTACAACATACTAGTCTGCCAACAGCGCTGTCCAAGAGCAACACCCAGAGGCTAAATATACCGCTACAGCAACTCTGCACATTTTGACCTGTTTCTTTCCAAGAAGGAAAACCTTCATAAAGATAAGCAACAATTTCCTGTAAAAATAAAGAGCTGACAAAACTCTTTCAATGGTAACATTAACAGCAAAGTATTGCAGGCAAACAAACCCACTCATGAATATCACATCTTTATAGCTATTGCGAACAAGTAAGAACAGATGATATATACACACACTTATGACATAGAGCAAGCATTTGCAAAAGCTACTGCTTGTATGTGTATAGTATTTTGGTTAGCAGCAGCACTGCAAAGGAACAACTAGAAGGATGCCTGCTCTCTGGAAAGCCAATTGTGTTTTTCAAATGCAAAAAGACAGAAAAGAGGCAGGCTGCTCTCCATTTCCTTTACCAGTTGTCAAAGCAGTACTTTCCAACCCCCCCACCTTATATCTTGAAGGCAGTTGCTGTAGGAACATGTTGGCTATGCAATAACAAAAAGACTCTAGCAAAAAGGTAATACGCTAGAGCATCTTTAAGAGGAACATGTTATCTGGAATCACAGCAAGAAGAGGGATAGAAAACTGGATACAAAACCAAGTCACTAAAGCTTCATTTTAAAGACCTCTGACATCTAAAAAGACTATTCTCTGTAAATTTAAAGCCTATATAACGGACAGAGAATAAGGATGACAAACTAAGAACACAATCAGTAACACCACACTTATACCCCTAAACACTTGTTTAGAATAGAACGTACTTAGAAGAAAACACAGTGAAGATTATGTAATCACAAAACATGACTGCACCTGCCAAACCTTTTATTATTTTGAGATTCCAGATCCAGACAATGATTTCAAAACCAAACAAAACCAGACATCTCAATCAAACACCTGATGGAAAAGTTCATCATCTATTGAGTAGGGCTTGCTCCACTCTCCTCAGTTAATCACATTCTTCTTTCCATCTGTCTTCTCAGAATCATGTTCTTCGCATGGCTTATACTCTTCACCTGGTTGTGGTGAAACTAGAACCGCATCAACTACAAGGAAGCAATCATGCCTCAGCACCTGCTCAGCTGTCAGTCTGTTACAGCAGAACAAATTCAGGAGAAGAGATTTAACTTTATCATCCTACAAACAGAGGGAGAATGATTTCATCAGTAAGCAAAACAAACTCAATTACAAATAACAACCAAGTATTTGATGAACACATCTTGTAAGTGCTTAGGGCCCAAAGTCCTCACAAAAGGTTGTACCATAGCATTCCAATGGTCAGCAACATTTGACAGTCATAGTGCTCATTAACAACAAAATAAAAGCAAGCATTCGGCACCAGCTCTGTCAACCTGGTGCCAGCAGATTTCACAGAAGATCATGAGTTATTATATTTTAAAATATCAATTCACTGAACTACCATAAATTAGAGAAATACTGCAGTAGGTCTTTCTACTGAGAAGGAACAGAACAGGTGCCATTCACCTTCTGCAACTTCATCTTTAACTTGTCACATTGCTTTACCTCTCTACAAGAGGACTGGAAAAAAAAAAAAACCAAAACCAAAGTAATGGGCTCTAAATCAACAGCAGCTCTTTTGCTATTAACCCACCACTTACACTTAGGCTCTTTGGATTTATCAGAAGGGATTACATGCCTAAATGCTTAGTACATTAACAGTGCTGGACTCCATACACAAAACATAAAAAACACAGCTGCTACACATATTCATAGACATCAGCTGCTGAGTGAGGAAGAGCACACACTGGATTTTGGACAAGGGGACTGCAAGAAAGACAATCTCAAATGCTGATCTAGAAATCTAGATCACCAAAACTCAATGGGAGCAGACTCTTTCCATAAGAAGGCTTGCTTGTTCACAGTCTCCAAGCCAGCAACATCTCTGGCCAGGGTCAATAAAACAGCAAAGCACAAGCGACCTGTACACCTCTCACCTCTCCCCATTTCACCCAGACAGAAGAATCACTGTAATGCAAAGGAATGTACACAAGTAGTCATAAACTTGACAAGACAGAAACAAGCAGACAATTTCCAAGTCTTCCACTAATTATCAGAGTGACTCTGGAGAATTAGCCACTCCCCAAATAATCTGAAATCTGGGGGAAAAGATGAGATCTGAAAACATCTGTTTATAAAACATTTTAAATGCTCAACAGAAAAATCTCTACTTATGAAGATCCAAATGTGCAATGAAATACAGGAGTGAATCATGTCTACACACTTCCTCTGCAAAATTAAAAGTGAAGAAAGCCTGAGCATTTAAAGAGCTTGAAAAGCTTTGTACTTGTACATTTGCATTTCATGATACTATCAAATGTCTGTCAACAACAAATATATTCCCTTCTCACCATCTTCTCACACTAAGGAAACTGAAAATTGATTCCACAAGGAATACTGTTGTAGGACAACATTTCATCATATGAACTCCATTTCATTGTGTTTGCTCTTATTTACCTTTTTTTTAAAAAAAATGCACAAAACCGGATGCTGAAACACACTGAACACTGAAGCTTGGCATGGCTAAATGAGTGGCTACAAGATCTTATCTCTAAACTTTGCTTTTCCTCAACAGTTACCTGACATTAATATCCCTGTTTTAAAGCCTAATGTTATTTTCCTGTGGCAATTTTACATTTGCTGAAATCAACAAGAATTTTATTAGTTGCAAGTGTGCAACTCCTCTGGGCATGAGACTGAGATGGGAGGGAAATTACCAGCCTGTCAAGAGCCTGCAGATGGGCATGGAGATTAATTCTGAATAAGCTGATTACAGATAAAGCACTTAAAAGCAAAACAGATTTTCCCCAAGAAGTGGGACAAGGATTAACAGCCAGGGGTCTACAAGATTCCCCAAGAAACAGCTGAAAGATATTTATTAATATTACATTTCTCAGTAAAACCCTTATGTGTGTTCCTGTGCACTGCAGGCAGCACAGATTGCTTTCCAGCAGACTTTGGTGGTTGGTGCACGTGCGTGCACACACATCCAGGATGAATCCTTAAAAACTGCCAACTATGATGTATTGATTAGGATCGTATCATCTGACAAGGTCAAAATCAAATGCTGCTTCTTTTCATCAGGGACAAAAGTTAAAGAAACTTGCTCGTATTAAAAGCTGTAAAATGAATTAATCCCTGCTAAGAGCAGTAATGGCTAAATTAATTAATTAATTGTCTGTGAGATAAAGGCAGCTGTTTGCACTTCAGAAGATACCTGCTACAGAAGAACACAGAAATATAATACCCTGAAACTGGCCGTTTAAACTTTGATTTGCATACTTCAGACCTTATTTATAAAGCGTTATTACAGCAGAAATTTTATGGGAAACAGAAGTGAACTAACTCCTATTTTTGATGTCCCAAGAAATCTTTTCTATTTCCTTGAACAATTAAGTTTCTCTTATGCATGAGACAAAGTCAGGTTTTTCAGTATCTAAGGATTATTATGCATAATGCTGAATGCCACAGACGGTTCTGAATGAGGCAGACTGTTCTGTACAAGTTTTGTGGAATATATTTAAAACCCTCTTGTTAGCCCTAATGGTGAATCATGAAGTACTGAATCTTGTTTGCTATAGTATTTTGCGTTTCATGACATTCACTTAATTTTTAATATGAAACCAAGCAACTATAATGAATGATAAGAAACACTATTTACAGGATCACCTCCCTGCTCAAATGGTGCATGTTTTATTCTTTTATTTTTCCAAGGTAGTGTTACACTAGCAATACTTTTGCAGAGGGATTTGGTACAGTCCTGTGCTTCATCATTAATGCTTTCATCACTGGAGAACATTGCTGAAATGACGTTATTAAAAGACATAGTGTAGAAGATAAGAGTCATCTAATAAAACAAGATTATTTACAGTACTGTGTTATGCAGTAATACACAAGCTACCCTGCCTAGACACTGGAACCACTACAGCTGTGTTAAGTCTGGTACTGTATCGTAACAGTTTCTTAACCTAAACACAGTAAACAGGATACACTAAGCTCATAATGAACACAATTCTAGTAATTTAACCCCATGCTTTAATAGTTATCTCCGCAAAGCAGGCAAATCATCAACACACAAGTATAACCAATAAAGAGGGATTTATTATTTGCGTTTCTTTTTCCCTTGACAAAACAACCCAAATTTATCTGACCAACAGCACCTCTGCTGCTTTGTTTTCTACTTTTCTAGAAAACATTGGGATTAACCTCTAACTCTTCCCTATATTCCTTAGGAAATTCTATCCATAACCTAAGACTTCACTTAAAAGCTAAACAGTCACCCACTTGCAGGCTTTTTAATAGTGTAAGGCTTAATTTAAAGAGTTTCATGAGCTCCTCAAATCTAGATAAAGCAGTAAGCTCTCACTTAAAGTAAGATCAACAGAATAAGCATGATATGAGAAGTAGTCCATACAGATTAAAAAACGCAAGGGCAATCCACTCAAGGGAGATGAGAGGGACACAGCACAAGAACAAAGCAGTCAGTAACTAGACAAGCAGGAGTACAGCAAAAAATTATGAAGCAGGAACTAGTCTGGGAAGACTAATGATTTGAAAAAGGTCCATAAACCTCCCTGTGAATTTCTTTAAACTATGTATGGAGGCATCTCTTCTGTTATTCCAACTTTTATAAGGAGGAAAAGGAATCGCCTGTAGCAAAGGTAGAAGAGGTTGAAAGCAGGCAAGAAAAAAGGTCTTAACTCCTGGCCAGAAGGCTAAAAGCTTATGGGAAAGAGAGTTACACAAGAAAATAAACCCAAGGAAAGACAAGTGCTCAGGTAAATATGGCACACAGAGAGAAGGCCATAAAATTATCTGCTTATGATTAATATCCAAGAGATAGGGAAGTTAGCAAAGGATAGACTTCAAAGTTGGAGACCTAAGTTGGGGAACATGAAGGCACACAGCTCTATTCTCAAAGAGTCACTGAGGCACTGGGCAAGGATAAGCTTCAAAAAAGGCACTGAAAATAGAGTTCAAGGTGACAACAGTTGCCGGCATACAGTAGACAGAGAACAACAGTTGAAAGAATGAAAGCAACAACACAAATTCATATCATGCAGGGTCCACTTTGATCTGTGCATTTGTTTCAGAGGCATAGAAAAGTTTGTTTCACACACACAAAACAAACCCAAACCAAAGAATAAAGGGCACAGTACGCTTTTACAACCACGTTTAATTGATTAAAATGGAATTTGGCTGTTTTATTAACGCTTAAGCACTGTACAACCATTATGCAGAAAGACAGATGAACAAATTCAACATCCCTGACTTCAGAAAAGATAGGTTCCCAATTCAAATACCTCCTTTGAGGCTGAATCTCAATGACTTATTCCCCAAGTCTGTAACTTGGTGTCATTCAATTAATAGTTATCTGTGAAGAAGTTGCTCCTCCTGAGGTCAGAGTTAAATATTAAGAAAACTCTGGAGTTTTCTACCTTCTCAAACATAATTTTATTTATGCATGCTACTTAGGATTATTCAAATAATCAATTAAGAATGTTTTCTCAACCCAGCACTTACAATGAAATGTTTGACTTGTTAAAAAAAAAATATTGATTAACCACCTCTAAACAAGAGCAGTCTAATCATCCTCATCCAACGATTAACATACCATGATAACCACATCTACCTCAGGTGTTCCATCTTCTTTTGTGCTGAACTCCTGGTTTTGAATGCAAAGCTGTAAATGAAAAGACACGTAATGCATAACACCAGTGGGTTTTTTTTCCTTTTAGTTTAACAAAACCAAACATCAGTCAAGGACATGCCAGGTTTCACGTGAAAATGGATTGTTACAGGAAAATGGCAGGGAAAGGCTTTCTTCCTAATTTCACAGTAGGGAAAAAACATGCAAGGGGCTCAAGTTCCCCTTATGCAGAAAGAAGGGGGAAAAAATTAGTATCAAAAGAAACTTTTAGAGGTCAAAAAAAATAGACTTTTAAAAATATGACTCAAAGTCCATGTCCAAGCTGTAAGTTTAATTATATATTCTCTTTAAGAAATGCTGAGGAGTACTCTAACACACAAATACAAACCCTGTACCCATAAACAAAGTAAAATTTCCCAGTCTTTACTTTTGCCTAGAACCATGCCTGAGTACAGCATTTTCCAAAACCCTGCCTACAGGTTAAGCTGAAAATGCCTCTACTCTGAACAACTGCATAGACAGCAAAAGGAAATGTGTTTAGTCAGTGGTGGGCTGTTGTGACACAGATCAACAGAGAACTTGGAAAACCACTGTCTCAATTTTAGAAGTGCCATTGCTGTTTAACAAGGGAGAATGCAATGTCACATGCTCAACATGAAACCAGCAACTATTGAACATAATACTAACACATGAGCTAGAATTTTCCATCAAATAATCAATACAACACCAAGTCCGAGCTGAAGATTAGTTGCATATGGATTAATCTGAAATTCAGCTGGCAAACTTGGATGAGGTTTCAGAAGCATGTCAAGCTTGCTGCATCCCAAATATTCTCTTCAAGCAGAGTCAGCCACTTGTAAAACGGTCTTTTTTTTTTAACTATTGTTTTTTTTCCTTTTACTCACTTCTACTTGTAAAAACCTTTTTTTCTAGAACAGATGAAGATCTGATTAGTGGTACTGAAAGTGTTCTAACTAAACCATACCACATTAATAAATTATAAATATCTACGATATTAAGCTACACTTTAGTTCATCTATTTCAGTACAAAATTACTTCATTTTAAGCAACTGCTTCCTAAATTAGGAATAAAACATAATGAAAAGTGACTTTTATATGAACCAGCTTTATCATCTCAGCACAGGTAACCGACAGTGGCTACCTATCAACTTGCAGTTTACATCTCTGTTAGGAAGTGTTTTTAAGATGCCACAGCACAAAAGGGATTACTGAAGCCATCACTGTGCAGCTGATGGAACTGCCAGTGTTTCCCAGGAAGACCCCCATGTACCTGGAGCTCCAACTGGTACTCATTGAGCCAGTTCCAACGTATCAAGTGCTCATGCAAAGTCACTGCCTGGGAACACCAGCACTTGCTGGGTAGCTTGTGGCTTTTCAGGTCTGGAAGATTTGAAGTTTTCCCATTCAGAACACATGGCACTGACACCCTGAGTTGGGAGGCAGCAATACAGTGCCAGAAGACAAAAAGGAGATGTAGGAGATGCTATGCAATATACCACTTAACCAGGAAAGTAGATTGCTTTCTCCTCCCTGGCATAACACACACTAGAAACAAAACACCTAATCTAAGCACTGTTGCCAGCAACAAAACATAGGACAGTCCCATCCTTGTCTTCATCCTCCCTCTCTTGATTTGGGTAATTCCTCAAGGGCAAGGTCACAAAAAAAAGAAAAAAAAAAAAAAAAGGCTCACAATGAATGAATAAGAAGTGCAGTGCAGTAAGAACTGACAATCCACAGCATGAGGAACAAAAGCATAATTTTTGTTCCTATTACTATACAAATTACATTGTATATTTTACAGAAAAATGCACTGTGTTCTGCCCCTAATCGTAACTCCCATTCGTTCTACACTTACCACTCAGTTGAAAATGTGAGCACTTATTTCACCAAAATAGTTCAAAGCAGAAGCTGGAGATAACATTCATTGCTCTTTATAAGCCTGCTACCGTTCCGTAACATTGCTAGAAACTCTCCCACAAGCCATTACATACCCAGAACAGAAGGCAGCCATAAGCATACATGTCAGAGGCTGGAGAAGCTGGCTGTCCCATTTTCAGTTCAGGAGAAACTAAGCTCAGGGTACCGACAACCATAGTGTTTGCAGCAGCACGTTGTTCCTACGGGGAAAAAAATTGTACCCATAATTTCAAGCAAGATCAACGGCACACTGAAGCAGATGTATCTCCCTCTCCCTTTTAACGTGTCAGACTTTACCATAGAGTTCTGTGCTCCATACTAGAACTATTAAAGCTTATAAGGTGGTAAAGAATACAAATCGCAAAACTTCTCAAACTAGGGGGAAAAAAAAAAAAAAAAATCACAGATATTAAAAGACCTTCAGCACTATTTTGAAGAACTCTAGTTCTGAAGTTCAGTTCTGCCAGCTTTCCTATTTTCTCTTCTCTGCCTTTCTGGTCTTCACCTGAAAATAGCTGCTTCCTCCCTCCTGGTTTCCAGCATATTTTAGGACTGTCTACTGTCAAAATAAAAGCTAGATCCTGAGTTTCTATCCCCCTCCATGACAGCAGCCAGCACCAGCTATAGCCAGACTGGGGAAGACTACACTCCAGATCACCAAGAGTACTCAGTAACACACCAGTTACCAGCTCCACTCGTGCATTTGTGATCATGCAGAAAGTACAAGCACTGAGCAGTACTGACACCCCTATAGAAAAGGGCACAAACTGGATCCCGGCTGTGAACCATGGGTAGAACTTTCCTGCTCTATCACATGGGAGCTGCTCATTTCAGCACAGCTCATACCTGCAGGGAGCAATAAAGAGAGGGATAGTCTTCCTCAGTTTTTGCACTTTTCACAATGAAACCATGTGCGCTGAGTATGACCGTTCAGAAAATTCAGCTGTCAAAAATTTTTAAGGCATCTCTCTTTAGCATGTTGAAAATTGAAATTTCTTTCAAGGGAAGCACACCTTGCTGTCCAAACATTTGACACTCTTCATGAGATTAACAGATAATGCATTTCCAAAGCAGAAATAAAGGTACTCAATGAAACTTACTTTTATTTATATTATGTTTATTACACTAATATAATGGCATATTATTGTAATATATATTACTATGAAAAAAAATAAATAAGCATAAAGCAGACCTCTAGCACAAAAAAGTTTTAGCTCAAATGAGTTTAGAAAGTCAAAAGCTTACTACAGAAGAGATACTATTATTGGAGACTTTGCTATGTAAACACAATGAAGAGTAAGAAAATAGCTTGTGTTCTTAAAGAATATTAGATTTTCCCCAAGAACAACTATGAAATTCTTTACTACAGAAACTGAGGACTAAATCAGAAGTACATATAAATTCAAGTATATGTAGACAACATGTAAAATCCTGTTAATTTACCAAATACTGCAACAGATTAAAACACATACTAGAACCCCATTACCTATCAAACAGAAAGGCAAAGACTTCATGAGCTTGATGAGCCCTTCAAACATTAGTTCTTACCCTCACCTCTGATGACATTGATTACCTTTGAATACACAAGACAGACAGCCAACAACTACTGCAACTTCTCTTTTTTGTTCCACTGTTTTGCTTAACCAGAGCCCACACTCAGCAATTCCTTTTTTCCCCTCCAAGATTAGATTGTTTACAAAAATTTCAATGAGACTCAAACTGCTCAACCCTATTCAGAATATGAAACAGCAATCTCACTGCTAAGCACAATAAAGCTTTTAAATTGCACACTCAGCTGTCTGTTTTGATACAGAATTCTGACTAAAAGTCACTAAAGGATTTTTTTTTTACCTCTGATTTCGTGAAATCAAAGTCTCCAACGATTCCTTGTTTTCGATTCACAGCAAAAACATTATTTCCATGCAGAGATCCATGCACTATATTAGCTCCATGCAATGTTTGTAGACCTTGGGCCACTCCTTTCATCACTTTTAATGCCTCCTAATGATGTAATTTGGTTGTTTATTACAAAGATAGATATGGAAAAAACAAAGCACAGTATCAAGTACGTTTCTATCCAGAACTAAGACTTCTTATTTTTAGGTTTGTACACATTCAGAATTCATGCTAATTCCGTTTTATGAAGCATGGATCAAATCCTAGTAACGTTATTATGACTTGCACAGCCAGGCAGGGCAGGGGGGCGGGAAGAAAAGCCAGCAGTCACTGATTAACAAATCACTAACATGAAAAAATATGGGGG